TCCGGTGACGTCACGGACATCGACGTCACCGGGCTCCTCCCCCTTCCCTTCGTTAGCCCACGGAGCCACTTGGGGAAGGGGGGAGGAGTCCGGTGACGTCGATGTCCGTGACGTCACCGGACTCCTCCCCCCTTCCCTTCGTTTGCCGACGGAGCCACTTGGGCCAGATGCACTCGTGTGCCACTCAGTGCCACTCGTGATCGCGAGGACTACCCATGGCTGGGGAAATTTTGAAGAGCAAGAGGACATCGCTTATGTCATGACTGGCCTGAAGACACAAGGAAAAGGTAACTATAAAAAAAGCAAAATACACACACTGCAGGGGTCTCCAGACAGGGAAGGGGAGCACGGGAGAGGGGGACAAACTCTTTGATAAGAACAAAGTATAGGAACTTCTATCAACAAGTAAGAATTTGTCTCATGTAATCCAATAGACCAGAATGTGGCGGTTGCCGGGGGTTCATGCACTTTGCGCATCATAATTATTCTTATGCACCGCATGATGGAATGAGCCCATAAAAGATATTTGATCTTCTCAAGGAAAGTGCACAATGGTATTTCAACTTCAGTCATTGTCACTTCCAGCCAATCACAGCTTCCCTGGCGGCACGTAGCAGAAGTTTTTTGAAGGAATGTGGAACAGCGGTATGCCTTGAGTGATAAATTACTGAGGAAATAGATTTACTTTATAGGGAGCCCAGCGTGACACTATTTAATAGTATAATAAAATAGGAGGATATGAAAATGTATGATTAATAGCATTATTATTTCTGAAGTAAGCATTGGCCTATACACATACAGCACAGCAATGAAGTAATAAAATGAACTAGGATCACACTAATCCAGCACGTTATTATTCTGAGTTGCCCCACTCAAGCGGCGGCCATATTGAGTGGGGCACCTGAGACTAATAACGTGTTGGATTACTGTGATCCTTAGGGTAAAATTTTAATCATTACCAGCCCTAATATATATATAGTACTGTGCAAAAGTTTTCGGCAGGTGCGCTGTAATGCTGTAAAGTGAGAATGTTTCAGAAATAAAAGTATTAATAGTTTATTTTTATCAATTAACAAAATGGAAAGTAAATGAACAGAAGAGAAATCCAAATCCAATCAATATTTGGGGTGACCCCCCTTTGCCTTCTTCTAGGTACACTTGCACACAGGTGTTGAAGGAACTTGGCAGGTAGGTTGTTTTCGGTACATCTTGGAGAACTGAGCACAGATCTTCTGTGGCTGTCGGCTGCCTCAAATCCTTTGGTCTCTTCATGTCATCCCAGACAGACTCCACGACAGTGGCGTAACAATCGCCATAGCGACCCAGGCTGCCGCTATGGGGCCCGGGGACAGGGGGGCCCGACCAGGGCATCCCTCTGATGCCGTGTGGGCCTCCTGGGTCGCTATGGCATGTAAGGGTGCTGGCTGTCACTGACACAGCTCAGCAGCGGCTGTGAAGATCACTGATTTCCCCTCACAGCCGCTGCGGAGCTGTGTCAGTGACAGCCAGCAGCTGCGGCAGAAGAGGCCGGCGTTCACAGTGAAGGAGGAGGCGGGGCCCGCCTAAGAGCAACCCCGCCTCCTCTTACATCACTGGCCAGCGACCTAAGAGCAGGCGAAGCTCGGAGACGGAAGAGGAGGCGGGGCCCGGAGACGGAAGAGGAGGCGGGGCCCGGAGACGGAAGAGGAGGCGGACAGCACTGATAGGTAAGAGGTGTGCAGCCCATCTGAGACCCTGCAGAGCCCACTATAGGAGTCTATGGTGGGCTCACTCTCAGGTGGGCTGTTTGGTATATCAGGTGGGCTCTGCAAATGGCATAACTAGCAATCACGGGGCCCCATACAAAATTTTGCTATGGGGCCCTGTGATTTCTAGTTATGCCCGTGCTCCACGATGTTGAGATCCGTGCTCTGTGGGGGGGCCAAACCATCACTTCCAGGACTTCTTGTTCTTCTCTACTCTGAAGATAGTTCTTAATGACATTGGCTGTATGTTTGGGGTCTTTGACCTCCTGCAGAATAAATTTGGGGCCAATCACACGCCTCCCTGATGGTACGGCACGATGGAACAGTATCTGCTTGTATTTCTCAGCATTGAGGACACCAATTCTTCAACTCCATTGATAGAAATGCAGCCCCAGACTTGCGAGGAACCTCCACCATGCTTCACCCTTGCCTTCAGACACTCATTATTGTATTGCTCTCCAGCCCTTCGGTGAATAAAGTGCCTCCTGCTACTGCCAAATATTTAACATTTTAACTCATCAGTCCAGAGCACCTGTGGCCAAATAGCCGTACCTTCGACGTGGAAACAATGCTAAACGACTTACCTATACACGAAAACACAGGAACTGGGGTACAAAAAAGTTTTTTTAGGCTTTTTTGAGCATTTGTAGAGGCAATTTTGCAAGTGTTTCAGGCTTGAGTGTTTTTTATTCCTATATTTAGCCAAGGAAAAGCTAATTACTAAGAAAAAAAAAGGCTTAAAGAACTCTAGTTATGTGCAGCTTTCAAGATTTCCATTCAATTCTTTTGGGGCCAAAATGATCCAAAAAAAGCGCATGTATTTTTTCGAGCCACAGGGAAACAGAATGTGGGAACAGGGGCCACCTCATACAATGGGATTCCTCCTGTTGAGTGTTTGTAGCGCCTAAGCATTCGGGTTACAACAGGAAACTGAACTGTGTGACTTTAAAAGCACACCTTTAATTATTTTCCTAAACTTATCACCAATAATTCATGCTATCAATGCTCGTCAATTTTTTATTGACATTTTTGTTTAACATGAAGTGTTTTAACAATTTTAGCTAATAAAAGGCAAATACAATTAGACATGTCAACTGCTGAAAAATTTGGTTCAGTTCAGATATTTTGTTATTTCGGGATTCGGATCCGAAATTCAATTCGGTTCGGGTTTCGTATTCGGACGGAATCCGAATGTTCTTTAGTTTCAGATGAGTTTGTGAATATTTGTTGTGAAAACCACAGAAAATCATATGCAGATATTAATACTAAAGCTGAATCTCGGATCCCGAATGCCATTCGAGTCTAGGAGCCTCAGCTTTAGTATTGAATATACTAGGGATGTACCGATACCGATACTAGTATCGATATCGGTGCCGATACCGAGTATGTGGGCGAGTACTCGTACTCGCCCAAATGCTCCGATGCCTAGCACGAGTACTTCCTGTATCAGGAAGATGGGCAGCGCATCATTACACGCTGCACGGCTTCCTGACTGGTTGGGAAGCTGGCCAATCAAGAAGTCGGGCGCCGTGTCATGACGCAGCGCCCGGCAATCTGATTGGCCGGTAAGCTGCCTTCATGCTCCCCCGTCATCTCATGACGAGGGAGCATGGAGCCCGCCTCCCGGCCAATCAGAATGCTGGGCGCTGCATTTTTACACGCCACCTGGCTTCCTGAATGGGACTTCCGTTACTTGGTAATTGGTATCGGCGAGTATCGAAAGAAAATGATCGGTACTCGTACTCAATACCAAAATACCGGTATCGGGGCATCCCTAGAATATACTGCATATGGCTCCCATGTTGCCGTAATGAAAATTCGTTTTGATACCCATTTAAATGCTTCAAAACAAAAAACCGCATCTGATTGGCCAGGAAAGTCACATGTCCGATTCCATTTTTGAACGTAACTCAGACGAAATCCGAAATTCGGAAATGGGAATTCGTATTCGGACACATTCGGATGCATCGGGATTGCGAAATTCGGATGTGTCTGAATGTATGAATTTTGATTTGGATCCAATCACAAATGTCTAAATAATGTCATAAATTATAATAATCATTTTTTTCTTTCTCACCCTAAAGATGAATAGCCAATGTATAGATATGATGCTGAAAGCAACATTAGTAATTAATTCATGACACAGAAAATAAAATACACCAAAAGCTCCCTGCCCAAGAATCCTCTCCTACGATTTATTATCCCTTATTAGCATTTCATTATTATATTTCTCTTGTTTTTCCTAATATGCTAATTTTTACAGGCTGAGATAAAGATGATGGTCTTAAAATCGGTCAGGTCGCTTTCTGATGTCCTCGGGCGAACGTGACAATGTTTGATGACATAACCTTCTCCTTCAACAGCTTTTCTGATGAAATTCTCGTCGTAATTTAAGATGTGGAATGTATGTTCTCCCACGGTGTAATATGTCGCATTCAGGACCCCATAGAGCAGCAGCTGTCCGCCGGGCTTCAGCAGCTTGGTGATCTTTTTTAGATTCCTAATGAAATCATCTTTATCTCTGCTGATGACATCCAGGACATTGATAACCAGTAGACAATCTGCCGGTGGTAACTCCAATGGGTCAATGATGTTTTCTCTGTCAACATATCCTTTCAAGACGTGTTTGACTGTATCCTTCAGACGCAAATCCTTCTCTTCAAGTTGAGCGCTAAAATGTAGAAACAGAGTGAGTTAGGACACGATGACAATACAAATACGGTGGCCTGATCGTTGGATTGTGCCGAGTGTCAGCTTAAGGTGGGGTGGGCTGCAGCTATGGCCATGAGGGAGCTCCAGCCATACATGCATTGCTTACAGCTCCCTCGCATGTCCTGTAGAGGTGCCTGGACCAGAGTGACATCAAATTCTGGCTCCCAGCACCTCTACAGAGTGCACAACCAGGGCCGGATTTTCTCTCCCTGCCGCCCCAAGGCCAGGTTCCGCAATACGCGATTGAATGCACGGTGCCATGCCATCGCACCTACTACGCGTTCTGGTGTGGGAGGTGCGTTGGGTTGGCATTCATTTGAATGGTACCCCAAACGTACCTCCTGCCCACAGTAATTGCCCGTACCGGAACGCGCAGCATCGCAATGCCGTGCGTTCCATTGCAGTGCGACTTGGGTCGCGACTTAATGACCGAAGACAAATGTGGGTTCTGAGTTTACACAGGTAGGAGAACCACTGCTTTTAACAAAAAACATTCGCAGCAATGACATTATTCTTTTGGCCGATACTCAACCTGCTTCCTTCCTTCTCCGTGATAAATGACAAGGTGTGCGTCCAGTCAAAAGCTCCGGTCCGATCGTGCAGCCATTTTTGCAGCTCTATGATGCAGTGTTCATTGAATCTCAGGAGGATGATTTCTTTGAAATACTCGCAGGCTGAATACAGATGGTAAATGATGGGGCCGATGCTGATGTCAATGAGCGTGCCTCCTTTAATGTTAGCTGAGACAAAAAAAAAATGTAAAAAGCGTACTGTGAGTGTGTGTATGAGTGTTTTTTATTTCATTTTTGCGGAACCATGTGTGTGTATATTTCCTCATTTTTATACATTTTTTAAAAGGTATGTTTTATTTAAAATGTAAAACTTAGAGAAGAGGAACAGAATATGTCTTTACAACATTAGAATCAAATAATCCATCACCACTGTGACCCCTGTGGTTGTGCCACCCCTCCTGCGACCCCCCCTTAGGGTAGTCGATGTTCAGACTCGCCTTCAATCTTCACATGATCTTATTTCAAATGCATTTAGCATTGGTCATTGTGGTTCACATGTAAGCTGCCATTGGTTAAACCTCAAGATATATAACGTGCTTATTTTTGTAAGTGGGTATAGTCAATGTGGTTTATTTATTTGTTATATCGCAGCTTACCGCATTTCCCTCCTGAAGAAGCCAAAGTTTGGGGAAGCGTGTGAAGAACGTTCCATGGTGTTGGCCCACTTAATTGATGTTATTCGTGAGAACTGTATGACCATTGCATTGCTGTGTATTTATCAAAGGATGGACTTTATATAGGCCATAACAAGCCTCATTGAGTAGTTTTAAGTGTTGTAATCTTTTTAATGATGTTTAATAAAGCTGTGTTGTTTTAAATTGAAGGTCTTTCTATATGCCAAACCCCCCCCCCCTCCTTTCTTGTCTCCCCTTCAATTGTATGTTGGGGTCTTTTGTTACTATACATTATATGAGGGGTGCGGTGTAGGGACCTTCCTCACTTGAACATTCTTGCTCTATGAATTTGTATCAAATAAATTGGTACATTGTTTCACATAGTAAGCCAATAAATAAACAAAGTGCAACAACAGTTTACATTGCACATGATTGACAAAGGTAAAAGAATGGGAGCAAAGGGATAGAGAGGGAAAAAACAATATCTACAGTAATTATATATAAGATTAAAGGAGAACTATGAGGGGGGTGATTTTCACTCATCCTCATAGTGCTAGCCGACCTGTGACAATGAGACTGTCACAGGTCGGCTCAGTAGATCGGGAGGTGAGCGAACACATACCGGCGTTCGCTCACCTCTCGATCCTGTCACTGCAGAGAGACTTGACAGGGGAGGGACTGGATTCCCCCTCCCCGCTCCGATCCTCCAGAGCTGACTGGCGGAACGGACGGGGAGGGGGCGGGTACAGCTGGCTCTGCCTCTAGATAGGCAGAGCCAGCTGTCAGTCACGCAGCTGGGCGGATTCAGACAGAATTGTCGGGATCCGCTCCAGGTGCGGCGTCTCAGTATAGCGCGAGCTGTAGCTCGCGGTATACTGAGCTTTGGGTGACGGGAGGAAGCTAGTTTGTGTCTCCCATTACCCTAAGGAGAACTATGGGGAAAAGCTCTAACCCCATAGTTCTCCTCTAATAAGGTTGAGGTTTGCTGCTGCTGAGGGTTTAAGGTGAATCCCTGGGATTTGGAAAGTTTGTTTGCACGTTCACTACAAGCAATAAGGAACAACTGATAGTAGCCAGCCATCTTGTCAATGTGTGTTGGATCTGTTGGGGAGAGCAGATATTTTTTGTAGATACTTTTTTTTTGTAATGTACTCTTGCTTATTAGCCCTACAAATATCCAGAATTGAACAACCGTAGACCTCAAATGGGGCTTCTCCGCTAAGTCCGCACTTTGAGCAAGGTTCGTAAAACTGTTGGGAAACCATTTTAAGTGTAAAAAAATAATATAAGTATTTAAAATACAATTTTAGATTGAATCCCTAAACGCATTGTTGTATATAAGAGAGTTTTGGGCAGCTAGAGAGGTCTCATTTGTAGTCTGCAAATGTATCCTATACTGCTAACGCATGACTTTTTGATGTCTCTGGTAGCATTTCTCAACCTTTCTATGATCACGGCATTCTTAAGTTTAACACTATGAAACATCTTGAGGCATAAAATGTCATAGATTTTAAACACCCAAAAAATGGGTTTCCCCCTTCACATCAAAGTGCCCCCTTCAAATTAAGATTCCCCCTTATTCACATCAAAATCACACTTTGCAT